AAGGATGAATTTGAGGCTCACATTGTATTACATACTTCAAGTGCCACCGAGGGTTTTCAGGAATGGGAGTAATTCAATCAGACCCTTTCTTTGGGAAGACAACCCTCAAAATCATAGGATGAATGGAATACAGGAAGGATAAACGTAAGGCAGAAGTACTTTCTGGAAGGTGGCTGCAGTAGTCAGGCAAGTGATGCTAACAGCAGAAACAGACCAAGGGCAGGGGAATGGAGAAGAGTGGTAGACTGTGAAATACATAAGAGGCAAAACTCTAGTGAGTGGTCAAGGGACAAAGCATAGGAAGAGGAGGTGGTGTCCAGCATCGATGACTGGCTGGATGCTGATGCTGTTTCTCAAGACAAGGAACCCATAAAGGGGGACAGGGCAGTAACAGGAGGAGGTGTAGAGTCAAGTCAGAGGTACCTACGATAACCCAGATGGAGCCATCTGGGAGGAAGATGGAAGCCGATGATCTTAAGCTCCGAGAGGAAGAAAGAGCCATGCTCATCAGGAGAACGGAATTGGTAACGATGTCGTGATGTGATGATGAGGTCTTCAGGAAAAGCATGTGCAGTAAGGAGCTCCGGTGGGTTTCTTTCTGTTTTCACTCCAACCATGTGCCAATGTGGCAGTTTCATCCTGATTTCTTTTGATGCATAGCAAATACCTCCTTTCCAAGCTTTCAAACTGTCACCAAGGAAGGGTACCTTCCAAGTTAATCACCATCTGTTTTGATGATGCCTATTATAGGACCATTCACTGCATTTCCTGAACTGGTGTGGTTTCACTCAGTTATACCCAACCACACAGCTTCTCCAAAGGACTGATGTTATTAGCCCGTGACAGTATCAGCAAGAGGAGTGAGTTTTCATGTATTTCACAGAAGGCATGCTTGGTACTGTTTTACAGAACATCATGTATGACAGTGAAGGGGATCTAACTTTTCTAAGCGAGAAAGCCTTTAAAGAGCTTTCCAGTGATGGTCTTTGGTTGGAGCAGGGGGTACTGGTCTGCCTCTTTTCCTATGTCTATCTGCCTCCCAAAAGCAGTGCCTAAGGTTTAGGAAGCCATTTGGAAAATCTGCAGTTTTGGAGGATGCCACATGGTAAAGAACACAAGTGATGTAGTCAAATATTTTTTTAGAACCAGCTCTTTGCTTTCCCAACAATGGATGACTATTTGTAAGGAAATATTCCATATATTTTGCCTGCTTCTCCTTCTGGCTGTGTCTCTGCCTCTCTCTGTGTCTCTCATGAGCAAATAAATAAAATCTTTAAAAAAAAAAAAAGACCTTTAATGAAGGTTCAGGCACTGATGCCAACAACTGTACACTTCTCTTGCATGAGTGATAGCCTGTGCCCCTGCCTCCTGCCTCACAAAGCCAGCCCACACCTCAACCCAACTGCAAGAGGCTACACAGAGAAAACCTAATCAACCTAATCAGGTTTCAATGAAGCATGTGTGCAAAAAAAAAAAAAAAAAAAAAACCTCTTTTGGTCTCAATATTGCTTTGGAAATCTGTGCTCTCTTTTCTTACCTTAGCTGAGAATGAGAAGAAAAAAAAATTTCCCAACGCATTGTTATACCTTCCTGCTCTCCAAACCTCCTGTTGACAAAATTAGATGGACACCTGGGAGAAGACACTTCCTGCTGCTGTGCCTGAAGGTGCCTTTTATTTTTTTAAAGATTTTATGTATTTATTTGATGGCGAGAGAGAGAGAGAGAGAGAGAGTACAAGTCAGAGGGAGAAGCAGAGGGAGAGGGAGAAGGGGAGCTCGATGTGGGGCTCGATCTCTGGACCCCAGGATCATGACTGAGCCAAAGTTAGGCAGACTCCGAACCGACCGACTAAGCCATCCAGGCGCCCCCTGAATATGCCTTTTAACACAAACATAATCCAAGATTGACACAACTTCTCTTAAATGAAACTAAGCAAGAGTAAAAACAAACAAATAAACATACAAACAAACGCTGCAAAAAAAAAAAAAAAAAAAAGCTTCAATGCAGTTGGAAGTGGCTGTCTTAAAGGCTAATAAGTTTCCCAATTAGCTCACTGGTTCCCTTAGAGGCTGGCTAGACTTCCCGAGTTCTTCTGTTTGGTTTCTGTTAGGTCTTTTACCAGGGCTGGATCTGGCAGCAAGGGCATGAGGAATTGCACTAAAAGCAAAAACTGTCCTGCAAATCTCTTCTGGAGCGTCCAAGGCCAGGGGTGCCCTTGCTGCAGCAAGTGGAGGAGGGCAGGAGGGGGCCCCGTGTGGCCACTGCAGTCTGTTGTCATCAGATTCAAATCCTGAATCTGCTGCTGGCACTGGGGATGCTTTGATGTGTGTCCACTGCAGCTTAACTTTATCCCTTTCAGCAATGGGATCGCTCTCCTGCCACCAAAATGGGCAACCTGCGCGCCCTAACAGCTGAAAGAAACAGCGTTCAAAAGAAACTGCCAAGGGCAGCAGGCGTGGCCTTGGGATCCGAGGCTACAGCGTCTAGGTTCCCACAGCACTGCTCCCACCTCCGATCCCCTTCTGTCCTGAGATTCCGGTCCCCTCCCCCCAGAGTCGACATGACTTCTGGACTGTGCGTGGGCAGGGGCCACCGCCACTAATAGGGACAGTCAGAACCACCACCAGTTGAAGAGAAGGAGACAAAAAGGTTTCCAGAACAGCCTCTGACTGAGGGGACTTGACACATTTGGACAAAACGGGGTTTCTATGGGATCAGAGAATATCTAGATTTCACATCCCCAAAAGGCTAAAAGCCACTGAAGAATGAATGCAACCCTGGTGGCTGGATGCTGCTTATTAGACCAAATATCGCCTGGGCACCTGCGACGTGCTGAGAGCTAGACCCTATGCTGCAGGTGAGGAGGCCCAGAGGCTGAGGGAGCGGACACAGGCAGCTGCTCACAAACCTCGGTGTCCAAGACTTCTCTGTGGTGAGTCTCTTAGGCTCCACATCCCCAGAAATTCTGACTCATTGCACCCAGTGTTGCTGAATCTGCAACTTTAATACACATGCACAGGTGGCTTGGCTGCAGGAGATCCTGGGGCCAGACCACAGAAACGCTGGGTTAAGACCTGATTCCTGCCCTCAGTGAGTGTGCAACCCAGACGGGGTGATAGCAAACACCCACAAGGCAATACACAGCCCTAGATTTTTCTTTCTTTCTTTCTTTCTTTCTTTCTTTCTTTCTTTCTTTCTTTCTTTTTTTTATGATGCACGTTCTAAATGTTCCAGGAGTTCAGAGGCCTGTGCATTCCAGGAAGAGGGTGAATGGGAGACAGGCTCAATAGTCAGGCAGGCAGGTCCTGCTTAGCAAGAAACAGCCCAATCGTCTACACCAAACCTCCTGATTCAGCGTAACAAGGGGGCCATGGCAGATATATGCGTGAAGACAAAGTCATGAATTAGAGGACTGCCACCCAGCAGGTAAACAGGCTTCCTAGGTTGAGTACAAGGAGGACACTGTCACCAGGAGAATCATAACACTGGCATTTCCAGATAACACTATGTTCGCATTTTCATTCTGCCACATTCATGTGGTTTCCTGCACTTCATGATTTCACATTTGTAAGACAAAAAAAAAAAAAATGCTGTCACGAAACCCAAATAATGCACCACTCTGAGGCAGACAGCCAGCTGCTAACAAGAGTGACATCTGAGCATCATTTAAAGTGTCATTCATAGCTCTGCTCCGGAAAAGGGATGTTTAGTGAGAAAGAAAAAATAATAAATTATGTTCAATTTAAAACAAAGTTTGGGACTCCACAGGGTTCAAGTATTGGTAGAAAACCCATAAGACACTGACAGCAAACAGAACAGAGAAGGAAGAGTTAGATCCCCGACAGGAAACTAAAGGACAAATATTATATTATATTATATTATATTATATTATATTATATTATATTCATATAACAATGTGCCACGTTGTCTTTAACACCACAAGGAAATGTATTACTAACCACAGACACCACAAGGCCTGTTTGACCAAAGGGCTGGTTCACAAGATCGTAGGGAGAAGGAGGGAGAAGGGACCCCAGAGTGCCTGGCTCCTTCTCCACCACTGGTGCATCCAAAGAGCCAAAGATGACCTGCCAAGGGCTCACCATCGATTTGGTGGAGCAAGAATCAAAGGGGATGATGATTTAATTAATTTCAGCAGAGTGAACTATGGCATTTTTAGATTTGCAAGGGACCTTGGAGGTCACCGAGGCACGCACTGGAGTTTTTAGAAGTGACTCATACCTTGAGGATGAGTAAGTTGTCTGAGGTCAACAAAGGTGGGCAGAACCGGCTTCCATTTGAGGACTGTTTCTAAGAACTACAATCAATGAGGCTGGTGAAACTTCCTTGGAAATCCACAGCATTTTTTTGGTGTCTTGTTTGGCACTTATTTATTGTTTCTTTATAGTTTGGAGGACTTAAATTCCACCTCCAGATCAGGGTTCTCATGCGGGCACCATGTGTAGTTAAAAGGTGCTCAGTAAATACGTGTTGAGTAAGACTTGGAAAATCCCAGTGCTTCTCACCTTGCCCTCACTGATACTCCACTACAGGGTAACAAATCTGCCATCAACTTGAATCGACCGTCTCATGTGTGATTAATCCCTTACCCTCTCAGCTAAAAGGAATGTCTGGAAGATGTAGTTGGTTGGTTGGTTGTGTGTTCAGTTGTTTGGGGGTGCTTTTTCCCTTCTTTTTGGTCTTTTCTAACCACAGATGCATTGTACTCAGATCCCGCTACTCTGCAAATTTTATTTTTTTTTTGTTTTTTTTTTTTGTTTTTTTTTTTTTTTACTCTGCAAATTTTGGAAACAAACATGCTAAGTCAATTTCATTGTTCTCTTGGCTCTCCATCACTAGAACAACATTTTCTCACACAGCCTGTTGCTTGGGTTGTAGAGAAATAGCCCTGCACTCGACTAAGATGTCCTGAGACACCAAATAAATGATGATTGATGAAATCTAGAGCTAATGAATACCAAGTCCTTTGGATGACTTACCCACAACTATTTGTGTTTCAAGACCATCCGTGCAGGCTGAAGTCCACCCTTTCTTGCTCATGGTCCGTAGCAGCACTACTTTTGAGGCCTCAGAACAAATTCTTTCATTTTGCTCCAGTATGCTACAGGAAAAGAAAACAAAACAAGTCAGAATGAAAAATGCCACTTCAAGCAGTTAGTTGATATTCAAGGGGAAATCCCTGGCCTCTCTCAGATGTATATTTTATAACCTCAAACAAGCATGTTAATTATCAGAACGATGCTATCACACAACTGATCTACCTATGGTGCCCTGAAATAGTAGAGGGTGGGGGAGGGGAGAGGAAGAAAGAAAACAGAGCACCTGCCGGGGTAGGTAGGACATCTCGAAAATTATGATATATACCACTAGGAATGTGCCTGCAAAATTTCAAGTTTACTAGCTGAAATAAGTACCCAGAGAAGAATTCCTGATGTTGAATAATTAAAGATAACGGACATGCACTTATCAAGGGTAGAAAGTAGAGAAAGGTTTGTTTCAAATTAAAATTCATCTGATTCTGCCCATTAAGGACTCAGACTCACCGAGCTAATATTAATATCTTTAAACACAGGGCTGCTAGGATTGCACAACAAAGAAAAGATAAAGTGTTAAAGGAAATTTTCGATTTTGCGCCACAAATAGGTGATTGACGGGTTTTCACTCTGACTCGATAAATCTCGATAAAAAACTGCCCCAGCCAAGTTGGAAGGCAGCGTCTACTTTACACGCTGAAATGTGAAATGAATGGCTAAAATATGCATGCCTCTTTACCCCCACTCAGAGCAGCTGACAAAACCTACACAGTGGAACTGTGTGGTGACAAGGTGGTGGCTCTGAAAAGTACTCCTCTGCCTTGTGAGCTTACAACATTCACTGGTCACTGGTTTGGTTCTAGCTTCTCCCACTGCTCAGTCCACTCCTCTGTTGTTGTTTTTTTTAAATTTTATTTATTTATTCATGAGAGACACACAGGGAGAGGCAGAGCCATAGGCAGAGGGAGAAGCAGGCTCCTGCGGGGAGCCCAATGAGGGACTTGATCCCAGGACCCCGGGAATCACACCCTGAGCCAAAGGCAGATGCTCAACCACTGAGCCACCCGGGTACTCCTGTTTGGATTTTTTTGACAATGGCCATTAGAACCTGGAAATGTCTTCAAAAGACGTCTGCAGACCCTTCCAGCCTCTTACGAGCTCTTCCTCCTTTGTTCTGGAAGCACACTGCAAGAATGTCACCCGGCTCTCTCACTACGATGACCGCATCCCACTTGGCACGCCCAACTCTACGCTAATCTCCAAAGGTCCTGAGGCCACTGCTGGGTTATCATCCAATGACCCAGTTGTAAGACAGAAAACATACCTTTATGCCTCACTAGGTGACCAGGTGAATAATCGATTCCTTGAAAGCCTTCCGAAGAAGCTATTACTTTATAGAAGACTCGACGTGTTTGAAAGGACTTTTTGGGGGGTTGTGCCTATCTGTGGTTAAATGCGTGGAGGCACTTAGAACTTCTGAGGAGGAAGAGAAAGCTGCTCTTGGGTAATGTTTAAACAAGTGAGTTGAGTTTAAGCCCATTATATTTTCAGCTGAGTTGGAAGGCGACTGCCTGAAAATGGCAAAGTCTTTTTTATTTTCTTGATGCTATCAATACCCACCGAAAGTGGGGTTGTCACGATTTTATTAGTTTCCAGAGCAGCTTTCATGAAATGTAACTCAGCTCCCACTCAAATGTGTAACAGTAACATATTGCTACAAATCAACATAAGCCAGGAAGTTCAAAGCATGACAAACTGTCTTTATCTTACCGTTTGGGTAAAAACAGAATTTTGAAGGGAGGAGGAAGATTTCAGCGAGCCCACTGCATGTTATTGGCTGATATTAATCTTTTTTTTTTTCTCTCTTTTTTTTTTTAACTAAAAATAAATTGCTGCCTTTCTTTCACTTGTTACCAGCTTTCTATCTTGAGTCTTTCAGGACTGGGAGGGTCTCTGTCGTCTAGTTCAAAATTCTTCTGCAAAGGAAGCGGCTGGCCCAGGAAGGCTGGCAGCACATAGCAGGTTCATCTGAGCCTTGAGCAGACTTAGGGTTTAATCACTCATGCCCACTGACTCACTGAACACCATGTACGGTGTTGGTTGGAAAAGTTTACCAGAAGCTCAGGACCTTCTCGGGTCACCCTTTCTCTCTTTCTTCTCTGTGTTTTGTCTAAAGGAAGACATTCATTTCTGGGTTATATTTTGTCATCCAGTGGAGCAAAATTATCTGAGAGAGGCGGAATGGCTCTCTAATTAGCTCAGGGCCCTACCCTGGCTGCCAAAGCCAGGTGTCCAGAGGAGCAAGTCACACTCTTTGTAGAGGAGAAAAAAAAAGGGGGGGGGGGACAAGGACTGATCTAAGTGACAAGATTTTCCATTCGACGTGAAGGAGCTGGAAGTGATTCATTTTGTGATTTATCGCAGATAAATTACACATAGTGCACCAAGTATGAGATGATTTTTGTCAAACACATAGTGCACCAAGTATGAGATGATTTTTGTCAAAAGAAAACCAGTAAAGATTCTATACACCTCCTTTTAAAGCAATAGTTTCAAAATATTTTCCTCTTTCAGTGAACTTTTCAGCAGTGCTGTTGATAACCAACAAAAACAAACTGGCTTGAGTTTAATCCCCTTTGCCTACCCATTCTTGTTTGCCAGTTGAAGCTATAAATAGAGATAAGACCAAGTCTAGAAAGAAGAAAAGAACACCAGGGGACTAGAGCATTCACAGATCTGCTTAAACCCTGAACGTTATCTATATAAACAAGGATTTCAATCGAGACGTTATCCTTACAGGGTCTGGAATTCAATAAGCATTTTTGCGATAATTTTCTGAACAGTTATAAACAAGCAGCAGCAGTAAAGTATACTCTATCAACATGTGTCAGAAACAGTGGCCCAAAAACCATGAGGTGTTTGTTTGTTTGTTTAATTTATTTTCATCTCAATTTTGCCACTAACTGGATTTTTCAGTTTAAGCACCAACTCTGAAGTAGAATGTAGCTCCTTATTTATCAAATAAAGGGACGTAAGTAAATGTCTTCCGTAATTAATTCCCAATTAGAATTCAAGTTGCTTTTATATGTATTTGAGTATACCATAGCAAAAGAGACCTCTAAAAACACAACTGTATTTCTAGGAGTTATCAGGAACATCGCTATTCTAAAATTCAACAATTAGACACAGCACAGGAAAAAGAAAAAAACAAAACAAAACCTAACACCTTCATTGTGAAATACCCCTTCAGTGGGGAATGGGTGTTCTATTCAATAAACAGTGCCAGGAAAATGAGCTCTTTATTTGGAAAGAGTCAGATCCCCATCTTACACAATTCAGAAAATAGATTCTAATTAATTAAAAAATTAAACACATAAATATGTGTTTACAGAGACATGCATATGTAGGTTTATATATATGTACACATACATATACATATATACATAAGTATGTATACATATATACGCATATACATATACACATATATATACATATATATATAATTTTATACAATTAAATACAGAAAAATAATTTTATAATCATGAGAGGCCCTGTAGGCCATTGCAGAGACTTTGACTTTTTACTCCAAGTGATACAGGAAGACACCAGAGAATTGTGAATAGAGTGAAGTGAAGTGCCTTGTGAAGAACAGACCATAAGGGGACAAGGCTACAGGCTTGTAAAACAGGCTACCGCAGACATTTAGGTGAGACATCTAACACATAGACTATTAACGTGGTGTGACACTGGGGGAGGAGATAATAAGAAATGATGAGATTTTGGATGTACTTTGAAGGTCAAGTTGACAAGTGGTATAAGAGAAAGAAAAGAGTTGAGAAGGATCCATCTAAGTTTTTGACCAGATCATCTTTAAGAATGGAGCTGCCCATTCACCAAAATGGAAAACATGGTGGAAGAAGAAAGTGTGTGTGTGGGGGGGGCACTCCATTCTTGCATGTTAGGTCTAAAATGCCTATTAAACATCCTGGGGAGATATCAAGTAGCCAGCAGGATACGGGCGATAGCAAGTAGACAGGAGGCTATGTAAGTCTGAAATTCACAAACGTGTGGATAGAAAACACAAGTTAAAGCACAAGTAACTGTCACAGGCAGCTCCCAAGATAGACCCCAATGACCCCATCTCTTGACATTCATGATTTTGTATAGTCCTCTCCCCTTGAGAATAGACTAGATTGAGCCATTCTCTAGCAAACTGAGGGCAGCAAAGGCAATGGGATGTCATTTCCAAAATTAGGTGACAAAAAGACTGGCTTCTATCCTGGATGCTCTTGTATATTCTCTACATGGTTACTCATAATGGGGGCAGGGGTGCTGGCTGCCAGTCTGCGAAAGCCATCCTGCGGAGAGGCCCATGTGCCCTGCTGGAGTCTGTATAAGAGTGAGCTTGGAAGCAGATCCCAACCCTCCCCCCACCCCCATCCTTTAGATGAGACTGCAGCCTGAGTTAATTAATGTCTTGACTGCAACCTTATGGAGATCCCAAGCCTGAGACAGATAAAAAATGTGCCCTGGTTCCTAATTATAGAAACTGTGAGATAATAAGTATTTGTTGTTTTAAGCCACCAGGTAATTTGTTACACAGCAATAGGTTACTAATACAGTTATGACGGGCAAAGCACTGTTCTAGGAATTTTATATGACTTTTTACAGTTGGAGAAACTGAGTCACAAAGAAGTTACATCACTTTCCCAATACCACAAATATGTGACAGAGATGGGAATCCAACTCAGGCCATCTGACTCCTGAGCTAAGGCTCTCTGCGACTGCAAGCCAAAACCCCTCAAAGATAACCTTTTCTGCCTTGGACGTGCATACCCAAAATGTGACTTTTCCCTCTAGGAAATGCTAATATCATAGACTATATGCAAACAATGGTCTGTGTGCATCTTCACCAAGCCTCTTAACCTGTCACAGACCTCTACAATCCTATTTTCGATATCCCAAATACATACAATACATTTCGATATCCCAAATACATTACAATACACACACACACACAAATTATATATATATATGAACCTGGGAATATATATATATATATACTGTC